CAGTAAGAGAAATGACATAGGTAGGAGAATAATGAAGAAAAAAATGGGAACCAAGAACAGGAAAGACAGAAAAAGCTGAAAACTAGAACTTTTCCAGTGGTTAATTTCTGGAATGTCCTTGCGGTCCACGGCAAGTGGAGCCTATTCTTAGGTCCCTGGAATCTGGGAGAATGCTGTTGCTTTAAATATCCAAAATGGTTGAACTGCTTGTAAACATTCAAAATAGCTGCACCCTCTGGACAGTCAAAATTCCACAGCTCAGCCCATCTCCCTCTTTGCTGCTTCCTCTTTTCTTCCACAGCCACCAGTGCAGTCCTCTGTGTAGCCCCTCGCTAGCAGGGCTAATTTTTAGCTCTAGTGGTGTAGTGCCTAAGGCATTTGACTGCTAAACCAGGAGGCTGGTGGTTCAAACCCACCAGATACTCTTTGGAAGGAAGACTGGGCAATCTACTTCCATGGAGATACTACCTCAGAAACCCAAGGAGGGGTCACTATGAGTCAATTCAACTTGACAGCAGTGTTTTTTTGTTTTGTTTTGTTTTTACCACCACTTGTCAATATTCAAGCTGTCTGTGCCATAAGGACTGCTGACAGACTGCAGTTCCGTATGTCTCCTTTTTCAGTGTTTTCATGCAGTTTCTTCTATTAGTTGGAGTTTAGTCCATTTCTGTATTCTTCCTTTCAAAGCTCAGGGCTCCAGGATTATCTTCTGTATCTGTGCCAATGCCCCTTTTCTTTGTTGAAGAGGGTCTATGTAGTTTTTCTGCCTAATCCATCATCTTCAATATCATCAGTTCTTGATCATATGCCACTTACTGAAATGGATGAACATCAACCAATTCGTTTTGGTACAGTGACTCTGTGTATTCCTTCCATTTTCTTTTGATGTTTCCTGCATCATTCAATATTTTGCCCATAGAATCTTTCAGTATTGCAACTCGAGGCTTGAATTTTTTCTTCAGTTCTTTCACCTTGAGAAATCCCAAGTGTGTTCTTCCCGTTTGGTTTTCTAACTCCAAGTCTTTGCACATTTCATTACAATAATCGGCTTTGTTTCTCGAGCTGTTCCTCAAAATCTTCTGTTCAGCTCTTTTATCTTGTCATTTTTTCCCTTTGCTTTAGCTACTCTCTGTTCAATGGCAAGTTTCAGAGTCTCTTCTGACATCCATTTTGGTTTTTTCTTCCTTTCCTGTCTTTTTAATGACCTTTTGCTTTCTTCGTGGATGATGTTCTTGATGTCATCCTACAGTTCCTCTGGTTTTTGGTCATTGGTGTTCAATGCATCAAATCTATTCTTTAAATGGTCTCTAAATTCAGGAGGGATATAATCAAGGTCATATTTTGGCTCTCGTGGACTTGTTTTAATTGTCTTCAGCTTCAACTTGAAGTATGAGCAGTTGATGGTCTGTTCCACAGTCAGCTCCTGGCCTTGTTTTGGCTGAAGATACTGAGCTTCTCATCACCTCTTGGCACAGATGTAGTCAGTCTGATTCTTGTGTATTCCATTTGGCAAAGTCCACTTGTATAGCCACTGTTTGTATTGTTGATAAAAGGTATTTTCAATGACTAAGTCATTGGTCTTGCAAAATTCTATCATGTGATCTCCAGCATCATTTCTATCACCAAAGCCATATTTTCCAACTACTGGTGATTCTTCTCTGTTTCCAACTTTTGCATTCCAATCACCCATAATAAATCAACACATCTTGATTGCATGTTTAGTCAATCTCAGACTGCACAAGTTGGTAAAAATCTTCAATTTCCTCTTCGGCTTTGGGGTTGGTACGTAAATTTCAATAGTAGTAGTAGTAACTGGTCTTCCTTGTAGGCATATGGATATCATCCTATCACTGACAGCACTGTACTTCAGGATAGATCTTGAAACATTTTTTTTGTGACAATGAATGCCACACCATTCCTCTTCAATTTGACATTTCTGGCATAGTAGATCATATGATTGCCTGACTCAAAATGGTCAGAACCAGTCCGTTTTGGCTCACTAATGCCTAGGATATTGATCTTTATGCATTCCATTTCATTTTTACAACTTCTAATTTTCCTAGATTCATACTTCGTACATCTCATGTTCTGATTATTAATGGATATTTGCAGCTGTTTCTTCTCATTTTGAGTCATGCCACATCAGCAAATGGAGGTCCCAAATGCTTTACTCCATCCACATCATTAAGGTCGACTTTACTCTGAGGGGACAGCTCTTCCCCAGTCATATTTTGAGTCAAACAACTCTGACCTGAGGAGCTCATCTTCCAGCACTATATTGGACAGTGTTTCATGGCTATTCCATCAAGTTTTCCAGTAATGTATCACACAGTGCTGCTGTTCTTAAGACTTTCAGTGGCCAATTTTTTGAGAAGTGGATGGCCCCTTTCTTCTTCCAAGGCTGTCTTAGTCTGGAAGCTCCACTGAAATCTGTCCACCATGGGTGACCCTGCTGGTATTTGAAATACCAGGCACAGCATCCAGCCTCACAGCAACATGCAAGCCACCACAGTATGAAAACTGACAGATGAGAGGTGGAACCTGGAAATTAGTTCACCCTTATCCTTCCAATGTGCAGATGGAGGGCTGAAGTTCAGAGACATAGTTAAAAAGAAGAAGAAAGAAAGAAAAAGAAAGGAGGGGCGTTTTGGCATGTAGCAACACAATCTGGTGGGAGGTGAGCCTAGGAGTTGACATTTCTAACAATCTGTCCAGGGAATTCTGATAAGCGCTAACACTGTCTCAAGACCTTGCAATGTTAAGCCAAGATCTGCATAAAGGTCAGTTAACATTAATGTGCTTATACCCACTCCTCACTTACTGACAAGGTTAGATTCCAAAGACCAAGCCATGATGTGAAAATCAACATTATGGGAAAATGGAGGATAACCACATCTCAGCCCCTCAGCTGTACTGTGCCAGTCCTGCCAGGGCCATGCTGATGTCACCTGCCACTGCTGTACCCCTCAGCCACATTGCCTCAGGAAAGCTTGGCCCCCACAGGGAAGGGTTGCCTAGTCTTCCAGAGCCAGGGTGACCTATGTACTGCCCTCCCCTCCCTCTCCTGCCCTCACCATATTTTCAGGATGGGTGGCCTTGGTTCATCCCCTCAATGACTCCAAAATACCCTTAGTGGCTTTTTCAGGGGCAAGGGCTCCATGTTCATGGACAGGAGGGCCTGGGAACCACAAGAAAGGTCATGCTGCCCACTGGGACCCCTGCCAGCCCCTCACCCAAGAATCCTCCAGCTCTCACTAGGCAGCCCTGCCCCCTCTTTCTCCATAAGAATTGACAACCCAGAGCTTTCTCTGAGGCTGTGAAGGCCAGGCTCAGGCTCTTCCCTTGACCTTAAACTGCAGCTGCCACTGACCACACATTTGCAGACCCCATCTCTACCCAGGTAGCTTGCCCCACCTTCACCTGTGCTCGCCCAGGAGGGGGCATAAAAGCATAAGGGGCTGCACAGGTGCCAGTCAGTTGATGTGGGGTCTCACAAGCCCTGAGCACCTGAGTGCCTCATCTCAGGGCTCCCCTGACCAAGCCCGGCTTGTCACCGCCACCCTTCAAGGCTAGGAGTTGGGGCCAGACCTTGTGGTCCCACTTCCTCCAGAGTCCTGGGGGCAACTCACCTTTAGGGCCCCAGCTGTCACTGTCCTGGCCTAAGCTCCAGGGCATCCAGGACCTGCCAGGCAGTGTCCCATCCTCAGTGGCCCCATTCCAGCCAACACCCGGACTTCTCAGGGAGACCTTGCCTCCTCTCCCCTCCTGGGCAGTGAAATAGTATGCAATCCAAGCTTCCTTTCTACATGCACATGGGGTCTACTGGTCAGAGACCTCATCAACCAAATGTGTTGTTAATGTGCAAAATAGTTGGGTAGTAGGTTCTATCACTATTATAAATGTAAAATGCCAGATAACGAGTGTCGATAACTGAGGAGTAGGTGTAATCTAAGCTGGGCAGAGCATCAGAACCATTTCAATTCCTTGATAAAAATATAGACTCTAGAGTCTGGCTTAGTGGGCCTCAAGTGGAGACCAGGAATCTCTATTTGTATCATTTACCTGAGATGATTCTGATATAGCCAATGAGAAGTAGATGCTATTTTACAAATGAGAAGAGTCCCAGAGCATGTGAATCACCAATGTACCACAAAGTGGGTCTATTGATCTCCAAGTGTGCACAATAGTGTGGAAATTTCCATTGAATGCCTCTCTAAATTTAACAAAGGGAGAAATATCTAGGCTCTTACTCTTCATTTGGTCTTTGGGGTCTTAAGAAGACCTCCCACCATCTTTGACACCTCTTTCTTAACACCTGGCCTTTCACTGTCAGGATCCCATAGGCCCATCCAGATTTGAAAGGGGGTAGTACCTCAACTCTGGGATCCTGTTCTGCTTAAACAAATGAGTAAGGTCTTGGAATGCATTTGTTCTAGTCTCTTTCTAGTGCCCAACACAGTGCCCATCCCAAGTAGACCGTTTAATCAATGAATTATCAAGCAGGGTCTGTGAGAAGCAGTGGAGTGACAGCACTGTGGTTTCCTTCTCCTTCTTCTGAGGGCTTTAGGGGTAAGCAGGTCAAACCCTAACTCGTCCATAGGCAAATTCTTATCTGGAAAATGGGGATAATTCCTGAAGGAAAAAGACTAATCCCTAATCAACATGGATAGTGTTGATGCTGCTTCAAGCCCTAGAACTAAGGAATCCACTCACAGCTTCTCTATAGCCAGAGACGTAACGTGCTTTGAGAAAAAAAATGCCACAACAGGAGCCAAGAGACAGACTCCCTCTCCTTGGCTCCCTCAACCCGGGAATATCTATGGGACCTTGGGCAAGTCAGAAACCCAGAGTCTGAATGACCTCATCTATCTGTAAAATAGAGCACCTTGATGGGTCCCTATATTCATCTGTGATCTGTCTCTAGAGTCAGCAGAGGAAGTGAAATGAATATGGGTCATCCCATTAATACTCTCTAACGCAAAAGTTTATGATTGTTTTACCTCCATCTCAAAGACTCGTTGTGCTCTGAGGTTGTCACGAAGAATCACCTGAGATAAGCGGCTCTTGGGTAAAAATTTCATTGTCATTGCTTCACTGGAATTCATTAAGCTGGAGGGGAGAAAGGAAGGGGTACAGGTTGGAGATGGCTAGGACCAGGGCAGGGCCTGGTTTCATGGCTTAATTTTCAGAGAAGCAAGAGAGTAAACAGAGGTTTCATCTTGTGGAAAAGGTAAGCCAAAGGGGTGTTTCTTGGGTGTAAAGAGGAAAAGATATCCTAAGACAGATATAGAAAGGCCCAGAACAGTCCAAGAGAAGGGTCAGCAGGAACTGAGAGCTGTTCTCAGGAATCATCATCTTAAGGAGAAAACATAGGTTGAGATAGGGGTGCTGCTTGTGCTAGAGAGATATTAGAAGTTTTAGTATAGGGCTCAGAGGAATGACTTTTAAGGGGCTGGGAGCCACCTGCTCTTAAGTCAAGGTCTAAGGGGGATCTTGGCAGACTGGAATCACAGGAATGAATGAAGAGTTTGGACAAAAGTTGGGATGTGTTAAAAGGGAATTCTAAGGCATTTGACTGCTAACCAGAAGGCTGGTGGTTCTAACCCACCAGCCACTTCTTGGAAGGAAGACTGGGCAATCTACTTCCATAGTGATACTGCCTCGGAAACCCAAGGAGAGGTCGCTATGAATTGGATCCAACTCGATGACAGTGAATTTGGTTTGGTTTTGGTTTAAGAGAGGAGGGTTTGGAAAAAGTTTGGAAAAGTGAGAGAGGCTTGGGGTTTGAGAAGGCTCCCGAGGATTAGGTGGAGGAGTGCTGCAAATGAAAATAGAGATAACATAAGAAATCAGTCCAAAAAAGATATTGTCAGGCAGAATTGTCATTTTCAATAATTTGGTTACACCATGGAGTGGTTTTCCAAACCCCAAAAAAATACCCAAACCCAGTGCCACCAAGCCAATTCTGACCCATGTACTTTTGTTCATTTTAAAATAATTGTTCATTTTTTCTAAAATGTTGGCAAGTATCCAAATGTGCAACAATAGGGAAACAATTGAACAAAGTGTGCTTGTCATGCAATAAAATACTATGCAGCTATTAAATTTGTGGTAATAGACATAGATACCCATGGTGGATTAAGTAGGATTACAAACCAGTGATCATTTTTTGTGAACTATTTTTCAAAAAAAAAAAAAAGTATCAACATATTGTCATATGTACATATATGTGGACCTGGAAAGATATACATCAAAATTTAAGTGATGGTCTTTGGCCAAGTGGGGTAACAGGGGTGTCTTATAACTTTCATTTTGTTTGTTTCTCTTGTCTGATTTTCCTATAAGAATGTATATTATTATATTGAGGCCCAAAAATAATTTTGGAAGATTTACAAAACTGATTCCTAACTCATTTTCAAACTATAGGTTAATGAATGTTTTTATATAGTTTGTTGTTGTTGTTGTTGTGTGCTATTGAGTCAGACCCGACCCATAGCGACCCCTCCTTGGGTTTCCGAGGCAGTATCACTACGGAAGTAGATTGCCCCATCTTCCTTCCAGGGAGTGGCTGGTGGGTTTGAACCGCCAGCCTTCTGGTTAGCAGTCAAGTGCCTTAGCCACTATGCTACCACAGCTCCCTTTTATATAGTTACATAGTGCTAAAAAGAAATGTCCCAAGCTCCCATTTACAGTTGTTTTTGTTTTTGTTTTTACTTCTATGCATGGCAGCACAGCATAGGCATGAATAGAAAAAGCTGGAGTTTAAAAACCAAAATTTGCTCACACACAAGTCCCCAAAATTTTTTTTAAAAAGAAAGGCCTAACAATATTTATATACATTAAACACTCTTCATCCACTCAGCGATGCACCAAATTTAACAATTTGGTAAAGAAAATACATTTGGAAGAAATTCACTATTTTGTAAGGGGGGAGAATAAAAAAAAAAAAAAAGGCCGTGCCTGAGAATGCTCTCTTTCAAACAGTGGTCTTTTGGAGCCAAGTTGCTTTTCCCTGCAAGGCCTCTGGGGGAGCTGGGGGAGCTGGGGGAGATGCGAGGTTGGTCAAGCAATGGAAAGTGTAGGGTAAGCTGGGGTTTGTGGGAACTGGGGCTGAGGGAACAGGGAGTTTTCCCAGAGCGACTGAGGGAAGTGGCGGCTGAGAAGTTCAGGCCTGAGGGGGCTTGAGAGATTCAGGGCTCTCTGCAAAGGGCGCTGGGACCCCCTGGGCCTGGGAGACTGACAGGCCGAATCCCTCTCAGAGGAAATGTAGGTTTGGGGTGTGAATTCAACTTCACGGGGGGGGCGGGCGTCTGGGTAAGGAAACTGGGGCGCCTGGCGGTTCCCAGCGCCTGTTCTGCTTAAACAAATGAGTAAGTTCTTGGAATGCATTTGTTCCAGTCTCTTTCTAGTGCCCAACACAATGCCCATCCCAAGTAGACCCTTTAATGAATGGATTATCAAGCAGGGTAAGAGATGGAGCTGGATGAGGCCTAGGGCTGTGGGAAATTTGGACTACCCTGGGTGTCTGGGAAGGGGCCTGGCTCTGAGGAGACCGCAGTTCTCGGAGGGCCTGGGCCGGGACTTTCAGGGGCCGGTTCTAGGACCGGGTGTCTGAGGGAGCTCGAGCTTCCCCAGGGAGTTCGGGGTGTGACGAACGTCCTGGGCACCCGGGCCGCACCTGAACAGCACCGGGGTCTGCGCGGCCCTCGGCTGCAGGAAGTGGATCTGCGGCTGGGTCCCCAAACCGACTTCTGAGCGAGTTTCCCGAGAACTGCGCCGGAATCCCGAGGCCTGGGCACCCTGGGAACTGGTGGTCTCCTGGACGGCGGTATCAAAAGCCACAAGCGAACTCGGGTTCCTTGTGACCGAGGGCTTGGACGACCATGCATCTTCCGCACTCGGATACAACTCCGGGATGGGAGCCAAGGGGTGTTTGGAGACGAGAGGCATGCTCGCGGGTGGCTAGCCGCACAGGTCTAGTCCCTGGGTTGAACGCCGTCCGTTACCCAGGAAACGCGCGAGTAGGGCTGAGCAGTAAGCACGTAGTTCCGAAGAAAACGGGAGGCGAGATTGACCCTCGGCGGCAGCCATGGAAATGGGCTGGGCGGACTGAAGAGAGCAGAGTTCGCGGAGCCCGCCCTGCTCTTCAGCGGGATTGCTGTCTCCCGACCTGCTGGTGGGGCAAGTACCAGGGTGAGCAGGGGCGAAACAGCTCTGGGGCGGAAGCGGAAGCCAGGCACGATCGAGTCCTTCCTGTGGCGACCGTCCGTTGCCATGGAAACCGGAGAGCTTGACCAACCGGAAGTGTGCCTCCAAGATCTTGATTCGTCTGCTATCGCCTAGACCCTTTCCCGAGACGTCGCGGTACCGCTGCTTGATGAACGAACCCACCCGCGGAAGGAGTGATACCCTGAACCGGCCCAGAGAGGTAAGGTGGTCAGGGTGCCAGGCTGGCGCCGAACGGAATAACACAACTTAGCAAAGCAGCCCATTCCAACGCCACCTGCAGGAAGCCTATCTGGCCCGCTCTTGGAAACAGTGCCTCCTTGTTCGTTAACCAGTGAATTTTGTTCCACGGTTATAATCAGTATTTCATGAACGCCTGTGGTGTTTGCCGACTTTTCCTACACCTAAGGGCAATCCTACTTCCATAGTGATACTGCCTCGGAAACCCAAGGAGGGGTCGCTAAGAGTCGGGGCTGACTTGACGGCACATAACAACAACAACAAGGAGCTCACAAAGACCTGCTTTGGGGCTTTGCTTTGTGACCCTGGACAAGGCCTTTTCTCTCCCTGCCTCACATTCACCCTGTGTAAAACGGAGTTACTGACTCTAGGCACCAGCCCCGGGTACGTTACTATGAAGCTGGAACCAGAGGAGGAAAGTCAAGGCTGTACAGAGGCATCGAGTCAATTCCAACTTAAAGCTACCCGCACTGGATTTCCAAGGCTATAAAGCTTTACTGAAGTAAATTACCTCATTTTCCTTCCACAGAACAGCTAGTGGGTTTGAACCACCAATCTTCTAGTTAGCAGCCAACTGTCTTACCCACTATGCCACTGTCACAGCTGAAGTTAATTGTTTAATGTCTGTTTCCCCAGGGTAGACTCAGCTGTGTGAGAATGACCATGACTTTCTTATACCTTTTGGCATCCGCGTAACTTCATACAGGGCCTGGTGAATATTTCTTTACTACCATGAAAGTAAAGGGTCCCAGGGTGGGGCCACTGGTTAAGGGCTCAACTACTAGCTGAAAGGTGCAGTTCAGATGTACCCAGAGGCGCCTTGGAAGACAGGCCTGGCAATCTGCTGCCAATAACCACAAGTTCACAGCCTTGAAAACTCTGGAGCAGTTTTACTCAGCACACATGGGATTGTCTTGACTCAGAATCCACTTGACTGCAGTTAACAACAACAAAGCATGAAAACGGCTCTCCACACATCACAACCCTCACTCTCAAGAATGGTTTCTCCTCAGTAAACTTTTTATTACTGTGATGAACAGCATCCTCTTCTATTCCTGTTGCTCACCAGGGACCCTCAGTCCACTGCTCTGTGGCTTTTCTGATGATAATTGTGTTAGGCTGAGTTATCTAGAGAAGCAAAACTACTAGAGCATATATAGAGAGATTTATCTTAGAGAAAATGGCTCATACAGTTATAGAGACTGGCAAATCCCAGGCTCTTGGATCTGATGTCGAGCTGGAAGTTTTTCCCAATTCATGTAGCCGCAGGGGCTTTTGAGGTAAAGATTGGAGGCAGTATAATGGCTGTTGACTTCAGTGAATGATAAATCCAAGATCACCAGGCGATGTGGATTGTTCACTCACCGGACAGTTTTAGGCAGCACAACAGGAGCCAGATCCAGATCCACAGAAGTTTCCTGGATTTTCCCAGGACCTCCATGTATATGTTGGAAGCAGGCCACACCCCTAAGGAAACTCCCTTTCCACTAATTGGCTGCTCAAACCATAGGATCTCATCATGGTACTAACCACATCACAGCTGCTTAAACCACTCAGAATCGTGGTCCAGCCAAGTTGACACACAACCCCAGCCATCACAATAATGATACAGAAATCCCTTCATATTTAGTCTTCCAGCTGAGTGTTTTGGGGCTTTGTTCCCCTGTCCTTTATGTGACCTTTGGGACACCAGACCCATCTTCCCTTCCTGATTCACGTGAGTCAGGGCACTGGCAGTTGGGATTTACCTCCACAGCCTTCTGTTTCTTCTTCAGCAGCCTTAGAACCACCTCCACCCTCTCTCAACCTCTTCCCTTATAGAGACATATGGGAAGAGAACTCATCCTGTCTAGAAAACCTCCTAACTGGAAGGTGGACTTGTGGTTATTGGAGTCATTCCTTCATTCAACAAATATTTATCAAGCACCTGCTTAGGGGAACACAGAGCTTGGCACCGATGATAAAGTGGAAAAGAAGACAGACATAGTCATATCCCAATAGAGCTCACGGTTTCCTGGTGAGACAGGCATTAATCAAATAATCAGACAAATGAATGCAAAGCAGTAGCCTCAGTAAGTCTTAGGAAGGAGCGCACACAGGTAAAGCCTGGAGCAAGGGACCCTGTGAAACATGGGAGAGAGGAGGGATGTTATTCTGGAAGTTTCCCTAAGGAAGTGACCTTTGGGTGAAGATCCCAAGGCTCCCACACTTCTTCATTCCTCTGTTTAATGGATCAGATCAGGATCAGATAGGCTTGTAAGGAAAGGAGGCTGTGGATGGAGAGCATGGCAGAAGCAGAGGCCCTGGGCCAGAGAGAACAGAGCATCTATAAAGCACTGCCAATGGCTCTGTGTAGCTGGGGCTCTTCAGGAAGTGGTGGGAGCTAACAGGAGGCTGGGGAGATGGGCAGGAGCCAGGCCACAAGTGGCCTTGACAGCCTAGCTGAGGAACTCAATCTTGCCCTGACAGTGGACAACCACTGGAGTATTTTGAGCAAGGGAACAAAACTTTGTCTCTTTATTTGTCTGTACCTGCTAAGGACTGTTGGCCTCAAAAGGTATGATCTAAAGCCACATGTGCCTATTTCAGTTACACCTGTGAGGATGTGCTATTTTTGCAGCTTTGTTTAGATCTGGGAGAGTGAGAGGCCTGGGATTTTGGAGCTGAAAGCAGAGGTGTGCCCCTCCCTAGGTACACACCACAGCCCTGCTGAAGGCAGTGTTACCCCTCTTCCTTCCTTCCACAGACCTTTAGCAACAAAGTGCAGAAGCATAGTTAACATAGACTTTGTGATTTGACATCCGTTTGCCATTGGCATGTTCTGTCTCTTCAAAGAGATGGCTGTTTACGTGGGAGAAGCTGGTACCCTTCCCTCTGATTTGGGCATAAATTCAGGAGTCTGAGGAGGGGACTATGCAGGTGGTTTCTACTTGAAAGGGCTTAAAGGAAGAAGAGGATTTTGAAGAGAGGAGTGAGTGGACTATGTGAGCTAGATAGAGACTCAAGCAAGCCTACCCAACTAGAAATGTGGGACCCCTTGGGGGAAGCCTGAGGTGCCAGGCTGGGGCTTGCCCTTGGTCTTGTAGAGCAGTGCATGTGAAATCCTCTTGAGATGGGTGCTGAAAAGGCAGAGTCCTGCTCCTCTTCCTGAGGGTTTGACTGACTGGGTCTGGGGAGGGGCGAGTTAGCTGCACTTTTAATGAGGTGGTCAGACTACCCTTTGAGGAACCCTACTATAGGCCCCAAAATGCCTGGGGTTGGCCTGCTGGCTCTGTTGGACCCCTGCCTGCTAAGCCTTCTCTTGCTCTCTGCAGTTTTCTGTGGACTCAGCCTAGTGGAAAGATGCAGCCCTGGCTCCCCACTAACCACTGACCTGCCGCCTGGATGACAGCCCCTGCATGTGCTTTCCCTGTTCAGCTCCGTCAACCCTCAGTCAGTGGCCTCTCACAGGTCACCAGCAGCTTATACATCAGCAGTGGACTGGCTGCCAACAACAAGTCCATGCTGTCCAGCCACCAGATCACCACTATCATCAATGTCTCGGTGGAGGTGGTGAACACCTACTATGAGAACATCCAGTACATGCGGGTGCCTGTGGCAGATACCCCCGTCTCACGCCTCTGTGATTTCTTTGACCCCATTGCTGACCACATCCACAGTGTGGAAATGAAGCAGGGCCACACACTGCTGCACTGTGCTGCTGGTGTGAGCCGTTCAGCCACCCTCTGCATTGCTTACCTTATGAAGTATCATGCCATGTCCCTGTTAGATGCACACGTGTGGACCAAGTCATGCCGGCCCATCATCCGGCCTAACAACGGCTTCTGGGAGCAGCTCATCCACTACGAATTCCAGCTCTTTGGCAAGAACACCGTGCACATGGTCAGCTCCCCAGTCGGCATGATTCCTGACATCTATGAGAAGGAGGTCCGTTGGATGATTCCACTGTGAGCCATCCCAGCCGGCAGGCCCCTGCTCCAGGGTCAAGAGGCACAAACCTGGCATCGATCCTGTATCAAGATCTGAATTTGAACATTCCGCTTTGGTTGATACAGAAAAACCAGAAGATGCCTTTTCCAAGGGCAAGAAAAGAGGGAGCATTCCTGCAGTTTTTAATTTTGCAATCCATGGCTTTCAAGACTAAACTCACTAAATGTAAGGTAGTGAAAAGAAGTTTTCTGCCTTTTGAGTGGCAGGTCATGGCTGCTGGGACCTGGCCAAAGAGAAGGGGGAGGCAGGTGGTACCCAGCTCAGGTGGACTGCAAGTAGCACCCAAAACATGTGGCAGAATATGGAATCCTACAGCCCTCCAGGCCAACTAACCTAGATACAAATCTGCCAGAAGTCCACTTCGTTCTTTCAAACCCAAAGCCAGAGCCTTAAGCATCATGGCATTGCCTGCACTGCCTACTGGAAGGTGGCCTTCAAGTGGTGCTTCCAGAACCCTAGGTGCCTCAGGCCACTCCACCTCTGCCTTCAACCACAGCGGCCCAACTCTGGTTTTCTAGATTGTATTGACACATAAGACAGTTTTGGAAGAAAGCATTCACTATATAAAATTCTTGACTGCTGTTCTAGATGGCAAGGTCTGAAGATGACCTCAGCAACCCCCAACAGCCTTTAATCCACTTCTCTGGGGCACATGCTGAGAGACAAGGCCTGACATCAGGCTTCAGGATTGCTTTCTGGGGCCTTGACTTAGAAAGCTGGAGCTGCGGGCACAGCCCATCTTTGTTACCTCCTCTGCATGTGATCTGGGGCTTATTAAAGGCTCAGTTTCCTCACCAAGGTTCACTTTCCTCACCTGTCAAAGCAACATATATGTTAACAGCCCCCTGCACAGGGTGTGTGTGAGAATTACATGGTTCCTTTGCACAGTGTCTGGCACTTGGTACTTGTATCATGTAAACAGCTGTTCTTTTTACTCATGATTCACTTTGGTGCTCCTAGGCACGGGTCAGCATATATATCCTTAAAACAGCGTTTCATCATTTGTACACCATCTTTAATGTTTACAAAGTGCTCTTCCCAAAGATTGTCTTGTGTGTAAAAAAGAAAAAAAAAAAATGGCTTATGGTCCTTTCTGACACAACCTCAGTGGCAGCCTAGATTCCGAAGCCTTTTGCAGTTTCCATTGCATTTAATCTATGTGCAGCCAAGGAGTTGTGAATGGAGGAGCACAATTCCAGCTGCCTCAAAACACCTTGTTTAGTAAGTCCTGACCACTGGAGCCAGCTAAGCACAGGGATCCATGGCGGCACTCGCCAGAGGTGTAAGTGAGGGGCCCCACTGGTAAGCCTGGGGTCCAGGATTGTTCAGGTTCCATGGGTCTCTAGGGATTGGGCTTGAGACTAGTGCTTCTTATCCAGAGGTTGATGTACAAACAGATAAAAGCACACATGCTCTGGTTGGTCCAGAGCCCAATGGAGGCCAAATGCCCTTTCCCTCCAAATCTACCTGCTTGAAAAACTTCTCTTAAGAAGACCAGTCCCCATGAGGCAGAGGTTAAAAATGTCCCAAATGTCCAAACTACCATGCTACTCCATCATTTCAGACATTAATGCTGCCTCCTCCTTTCAGTAATCTGCCCATCTTAGGGTTCTGTATTTCACTGTAATGTCTCACAGAACTCACAGAGACCCAAGGGATAGTTGCACGTAGTGGTGGTGGAGGCTGGCAGGCTGGCAAGTCCCAAGTCTGTAAGTAGGTCTGGAGGATCCTCCCAATTTTGGGGGTTTGACAAACCTCAATCAGCAGATCAGATGATGGCTACTGCCCAAATCCAGGGGTGAGATGAGGATGAGTCCAAATGTACAACCAGTGCAAGAGAAAGGCAAACCTTCCCGGAAGATTCCTATATATAGTCTCAAGGAAGCTAAGGGTGGTGATTTGAGTTATACCCTCCAGCAGGTTGGGACTCAAAATATGTGCTGCTCCAACAGAAATACCCCAAGTGGATGACTTTAACAATCAGGAGTTTAAAAGCAGCTACTCAAGTTATGGCAAATTCCACCACAGAGCTGATTGCTAGTCATTAAAGGGAATAACTACTACCAGCTTCCCAGCTAAGTTGACACATGACCTTAACTACCACACCACCCTAAAAAGGCATCTAAAAAAAAGAAAAAACTCACTGCCATTGAGTCAGGTCTGACTCATAGCAACCCTTCCTTGGGTTTCTGAGGTGGTATCACTATGGAAGTAGATTGCCCAACTTTCCTTCCAAGGAGTGGCTAGTGGGTTTGAACTGCCTGCCTTCTGGTCAGCAGTCAAATGCCTTAGATAATAGGATTTACAGTACATCACAAAATGGAGGACAATGGCTAGAAGGGCCACACTATCCCACCGTTATGTCCAAGACTGATCTTCCCTATTAAGATTAGAATAGAGATGATAAACACACCCACAAAACACCAGGGTCCATGTGGCAGAGCCCCACAGAGTAGGTTTCTGGGTGAGACCCAGATGAGAAATTTATTTAAAAGCATTAAAACAAATTTGAGTATCTATATTAACTTCTAAGTTTACAAACCATAATATAAACTTTTTAAAAATGTGTGATTCTGTGAGTTTAATGTGTATAGATCATGTAACCACCATAGTCATGACAGAGCAGTTCCATCACCCCCAAAATCTTCTGAGGGCCTCACCTCACCCAAGCCTCTGGCAAACACTGGTCTGTGCTCTGTCCCTGTAGATTTTCCTCTTCTAGAATGTCACATAAGAGTCGTCATACATGATGTGACCTCTGAAGACTGACTGCTTTCACTCAGCATAACGTCTAAGATATGTCCATGTCATTCCATTGTGTAGATGTTTCATAGTTTCACTGAAGCATATTTGTGTTTCCAGTTTTGGGCAATTATGAATAATGTTGCTATAAACTTTGTGTATAGGGTGTGTGTGTGTGTGTGTGTGTGTACATCAGTATTCATTTCCTTATAGAGTTGCATTGACATGTAAATGTATATTTAATTGTATAAAAAACTGCCATACTTTCTGAGTGGTGGTACCATTTTGTATTCCCACCAGCAATGTGTGAGAGATCCCTATTTGAGGATTTCTTCTTCTCCTTGCCAGTATTTAGTACTGCCGATATTTTTTTAATTTAACCATTCTGATACCTCATTGTAATTTTAATTTGCATGTCTACAACAGCTAAAGATTGAGCATCATTTCATGTGGTTAATTGCCTTCCATATATCCTCTTTGGTGAAGTGTCTGTTCAAGTCATTTGCCCATTTTTAACTGGGTTGTTTGTTTTCTCACTATTGAATTTTGAGAGTTCTTTATATAATCTGGACACAAGTCCTTTGTTGGATATGTGGTTTCTCTCAGTTTGTCTTTTTATTTTCTTAAAGGTGTCTTTTGCAGAGCAAAAGTTTGAAATTTTGATGAAGTACAGTTTATCACTGTTTAATGGATCATTCTTTTATGAGTTTATGTGTGCCATCTAGGAACTCTTTGCTTAACCTCAGATCACAAAGATGGTAAAATATACTTTTACTTTTTTATATATAATTTTTTTTATAAGGTGTGCAGTTTAGGTTGAGCTTCATTTTCTTTTCCATATGGATATCTATCGGTTCCAAATGCATTTGTTGAAGACTGTCCTTTCTCCATCGAGTTGAATCAATTGGCCATATTTGTGTGGGTCTGTTCCTGGACTCTTTGATATATATACCTGTCCCTTCCCCAATAATACACTGTCTTGATTACTATAGTTTCATAGTTAAGTCTTAAAATTGAATAGTGTGATTCCTGCAGTTTTGTTATTATTGCAGATTCCATTGGCAATTCCTTTGCCTTTCCATATACTTATTTGCAGTGCAGTGAATTACTTCACGTGGCCTCTCTAGCCATAGTCTTTGTAACTCCCACCAAATGACTGGGTGCAAATGTAAATATGAGATGCTTGTGGCCCACCAAGGGAATTGGATGGCATGCTAATAATGTAACAAAGGTGCGTGGCATACCTGTGGTGGTGGGACCATGCAAATAAGGTGTATGGAACCCCAATGTGGGGATTGGTCAGTTTTGCCATGCCAGAGATAGAAAGTGGTGGAAGTGTCTCACTACCATCAAGTTAGTAGACAGTAGAGCATGTACTTTGGACCCAAGATCCCTGCACTGAACCTCTTCAACACAGGAGACAGGAGACAGAGAGCTTTAACACTTTGTTGAGATGGCAAGAAGCGGTAGCAGAGAAACGGTGACAGCAGAACAGGAGACGGGCAGGAAACCCTGTTGGCAGAAGATGATGCCGTGGGCTTCCTAGGCAGTGTGAGAATGGTAAGTGCCTTTGGGCGAGAGGCTTACTGATGGAGTAGGGTGCCTCAAAGCACTTACTGGTATAGTTAAAAGAACTTTGTAACACTTGGTGAGCAAGGCAAAGACCAAGGGGCCGTGAGGTGGAGAGACTGAGAGCCAGAGAATTGAATGCCTGCAGGCATTGGTGAAAAGAGATTGTCCTTACTAAAGAACTGTATTCTGAATCATTTCTAATCCTAAACTGTAACCTGCTACTTCCCTAATAAACCCCACAGTCATGAGTATTGTCATCCAGTAAGATGTCGGAATAGACAAACAAGCTACACAGACCCTCTTCAACAATAAAAAGAGAAACTAATTGACACAGCTGCAGAAGATAATCCTGGAGCCCTGAGCTTTGAGCAGAAGGATACAGAAGTGGATTAAATACCAACTAGTAAAGGAACCTAAATGAAAGCAGTGAATTAGGAGATAAATGGAGCTGCCAACTTCCAGCTACCCCAATGGTGCAGCCAGTTTGAATATTTACAACTGGTGTTAAGACCTGAGCAGTAACCTAAAAATTGGCCCGTCTCACCAAGATAAAGTAGTAGAAACAAAGGAATAGGATACAGACCCAGAAAACATCCCTGAGAAAGAAGAAAGATTAGAACTCCTTGATCAGTAATTCAAAAGAATTA